TATATAAGCGCGTAGTAGCGTAGTATCGTAGTGAAGTATTGTATAATAATCTAAAGTAATACATTATCAACCATATAAGCGCGTAGTGGCGTAGTATCGTAGTGAAGTATTGTATAATAATCTAAAGTAATACATTATCAACCATATAACCCTTACGAAAATTTCCTATAGGAATTCCTATAGGAAATCAAAATTCCTATAGGAATTCCTATAGGAATTGAAAATTCCTATAGGAATTCCTATAGGAATTGAAAATTCCTATAGGAATTCCTATAGCAATTGAAAATGGTCAAAAAAATTCCTATAGGAATTCCTATAGGAATTGAAATTTCCTATAGGAATTCCTATAGGCATTGAAAATTCCTATAGGAATTCATATAGGAATTAAAATTTCCTATAGGAATTCCTATAGGCATTGAAAATTCCTATAGGAATTCCTATAGGAATTAAAATTTCCTATAGGAATTCCTATAGGCATTGAAAATTCCTATAGGAATTCCTATAGGAATTGAAATTTCCTATAGGAATTCCTATTGGCATTGAAAATTCCTATAGGAATTCCTATAGGAATTGAAAATGGTGAAAAAATTCCTATAGGAAAAAATATTCCTGTAGGAATTCCTATAGGATTGGAAAATGGCTATAGGAATTCCTATAGGAAATGAAAATTCCTATAGGAATTCTTATAGGATTGGAAAATGGTGGGAAAAATTCATAGCCACTATGGCCTGAACTTTACTTATATAAAAAATTATACAGATAAATATAATTTACGAAATAACTCCTTCCTACAGGAATTTCTATTTCTTATAGGAATTTTTTTACCATTATCATATTCTATAAGAATTCTTATAGGAATTTTAATTTCTTATACAACTACACTATTCCTATATCATATTTTACTCATAGACATTTATTAATAGAGAATTTAATACTGGGACTATTTATTTTCTAAGATTAAATGAATAATTACCGCAATGTGCGCGACTGACAGACTGGTGTCTAGTTTTCTTGCCACGCGCGCAAAGCATCAAGGGATAGATCATCACACCTCCGATATTTTTTCAAGTCAGTGTTTGTCAATGGTTTATGTGCAAAATAGAACTATTTTTGATGGGATTCAACTGGATTTTCACTAGTAATACATCAGGGATGTTTGCATAATGTTCAGGTAAGAATAAGTTTATATTTTATTTATAATAAAGCAAATTATAGAGGAAATACCTCCAATCTTCATTTGTGAAATTCGAGCATGTGGTTCGATAAAATTTGAATTTGCCGCGACAATATAAACGGAATTAGAATGCTGATATAAATATATTTATAGCATTTATACTTCAACAAATGCTACTATAAAAGTCTTATATTTGAATCAGACTTACCATGTTTATTAATATATTTGTATATCCCAAGTGCCAACTGTATATGCCAGATTAATTGTAAATTGTCAGCCATATTTAATGCATGCCTATAGAAAATTTAACTACTTGCTCAAATCAGCAGCAGTATTTATTCATATGTTTTGTTTAAATTAAACAATTTTCATTTTGAGAGGTCTTGCACCAGTCAATGTATTAAAATCTGTTAGCCTTTAGACATGCTTTAGTGTAATGCCAGGAAAATTATCCATGTTTTTCTATTAATTAAACCACAGTTTATAAACATAACTATGTGATGGTATTCAAATTAACCAGACTCTCTGCTAGTTTACATTTCATGCTAACTTGTTAAGATGAATGTGCTCAACTTTCAGTACTTTTTTATTTTACCTTGTCTAACACCAGATCATTTTACTTGAAAGAGAGTGGACAACTTTGATAGGTTACTTGCTGTCTCCCTGTGTTTTGTGTAAACTCATTAAGACCCAAATCACAGATTCACACTAATGCGCTCTATTTCAAAGCTCAATATTTTGCCCTGTTAATACCAGACTATTTTGCATTATTTGGCATTACTAGCACATTTAGATGCAATTCACCCTAACACTCAATCCCCACTTTCAGTACTTTGATATTTATCAGATGATTTTACTCATCAAAATGAATGTTGGTCATTGAAAGGTTAATAATTAACTGCAAAAGCTGCTATGTGGCATATTTAGAAGCAATGTGCCCTACTTTTAGTACTTTGTTATTTTACTGTGTTTATTCTATTAAAGTGGTAGACTCTCCACTTAGAGTAAAATAATAAATTTGGTGCATTTGGGCATATTTAATGGGTTAACAAAACACATTGGAATGGTAGACATCAAATAAATGTATTTGTCTTTTTCCAGCTATCAACAAAGTATGGATGTAAGGCCTCAGAGGTTCGTCAACATATGAGGACAAATATAAACAACATGGGAAAGTGTTGCAAAGTACAGAAAAGCAAACAAGAACAAGAACTTATTTGAGGACTATGTTTTGAGGCCAGTTTTAAACTTAACTTTAAATGTCAATTATGGTTATTACCTATGGTTTAGCCCATTAAGCGCCAGCGCTCTGACGAGTAAAATCGTCTGGCGTTAGACAGAGTAAACTATAGTAAAATAATAAAGTAGGCGCATCAGGGCGCAATGTGATTCAATGGGTTAACTAGACACATATATATAGGAATATAGGTAGGCTAGTTAACCCATTCGGAGCCAGCATTTCCCCTTGACATTCAAGTACAATTGTCTGGAGTTAGACAGAGTAAAATAGTCTGGCATTAGACAAAGTAAAATAGTTAGGCAGAGTAAAATAATAAAGTAGGACGCATCATATGGCATTGCATTGAGGTAGAACGATTAATTTGTCACAATAGGTGAAAACTATAATTGATTTGTAATGTTTAGTATAACCAATTTCTCATATTAATTTTTATATTTGCAATATTAATTAGTATTTATTAATTAATATTTATATCTATTTTTTGCATTAAAAAATTAAGAGTGATGAACAACATTGTCTGTCATTTACTATTATTTCATCTAGATTCTAGAATTTCTGCAGGAATACCAAAAATCTTATAGGAAATTAGAATAAATTATTTTCTTATAGGAAATTCCTATAATAATTTGGGACTAGACTTGAGAATTCTTATAGGAATTCTTCCTATTAAATTCTTATAGGAATTCCTGTAGGAAAAATTCCTATAGGAATTTTTCCTATAGGAATTCCTATAGGAAAAATTCCTATAAGAATTTGGGACAAAATTCCTATAGGAATTTTTCCTATAGGAATATTTTTCCTATAGGAATTCCTATAGGAATTCCTATAGGAAAAATTCCTATAGGAATTTTGTCCCAAATTCTTATAGGAATTTTTCCTATAGGAATTCCTATAGGAAATTTTCGTAAGGGTGTCCAGATTAAATATCAATAACAGGCCAATTTAATGTCTAATTTTTATTGATTAATGCTATAATTAGCTAGATTATATATCAGTTGTAAGAATATACTGTTGTTGTTTTTATTTGAAATTGACATTTCTTCTGGGACATTTTGATTGGATACTAAATATAGATCAATTCGAAACATCACAGCCGCAATGCGCCACAATTTCCTTTTACTTGTTTAATGCCAGACGATTTTACTCGTTTATGGGGAAGTTCTGCAGCTTAATGGGTTAAAATTGTAGTGAGCTCATCAGTACAATGACTCCATGCAATATGATCGAAACATTTACATATCAACAATAACCGTAATGCACCTATCATTTGTTTCCACCACCCCTGGGAGGGCGGGCATCCCTGGGGGATTTGACAACAAATTCGTTCCCGAGCGACAGGCGTTTGACAGAAAAATGCAACCCGAGAGTCTGGCAATTGACAAACGCGCGAAACCGGAAGTCAAAGTATATAAAACAGCATACATGTATTAAATTTTTACTGTAAAGAAGTTTAATAAAAAGTTAAAAATTCGCCGCTATTGAGAAACTTTCTGTGGAAGATGTTTTTTCATTTTTGGAGGATAGCGATTTGCATGAAGTTGCAGTAATATTCAAAGGTGAGTGTTGTTATTTTAATTTCTTTTCTACTATATATTTGTTCTATAAAGTATTAAAATATGTGCATGCTTTCAAAGTGAAAAGCAACTTCTTTATGCTGTTCTGTGATATCCTGTAAACTAAACTACATGTTTTTGTGTTCTATGTTCATAAATGTATTCAGTAGGATGCCAGGCGTTGTTTCGCTGAAAACAGATGGGAAATTTAACTTTCACTGGATAACTTAAGTTATTGTGAAACTTACTATTTAAATTGTTATACACTTTAATACAATAAAAGGTACACTTAATAAACGCATTAATGTAGATTTAAATTGTTCCCCCATGGTAGGGGTATTTGACAACTAAATCCAACTTGTGGGTGGGGAATTTGACAGAAAAAAATTCAAAATGTCAAATGCCCCTGGGTCTGCCCGCCCTCCCAGGGGTGGTGGAAACAAATGATAGGTGCATAATTGATCAGAACTGAATAAGTAGAATCAGTCAGAATAAATACCTCAAAGAAGACATGTCCAGTTGGATGCAAACGCTTACATGGATTGAAAGACCAAGAGAATGGGGGTATTGAAGTAGCAGCTTGAGTAATACTAGTAACAGTACACGAGGTAGTGGTCGACAACGCCGACATTCACGATCAGCTAACCGCTCATTTCCCCCAATATTTCTAACTGCATTTCTACAAACATACGCCTTGCATCGTTGCAGTATTCAGTAAAAATCAAAAGTCAAAGTCATTACTATTCGTAGGACAAAATAATAGGGATACATGAAGTAGATCGTTGATCCAGTATAGAGACTGTATAATAATCTGTAGACTGTAGATAAATTAGATAATCTGTGTCCATATCACAGAAAAAGAAGGTACAGCAGAAGTGTAACTCAAGCAAGTATTTGTCCGCGTTTTTACAAGCGATTCGTCATCAATCACGCCATCCTGGCTAGTACAATTGGCACTTTGTACCTACCAAAACCTGATAAAAATTTCCGGTTAAACTAGCCAGGATGACGTGAGCGAGTTAAAATTTTCGTGGACGTAAAACAATAAAGGAACCGACTCAAGTTACACTTCTTCTATACCTTCTTATTCTGTGTCCATATGTATCTGGAGAGAGATCTTGAGTAAAGAGAGCTATTGGAGGGTCCTGAAGGTGTCCAAATCCCATTTCCCACCTGAAATTTGGCAATATCCCAGTCCCAGTTGGATTTTTATTAGAAATCCCAGTCCGAGTTATTGAAATCCCAGTCAATAAAAAAATAATTTAGCGGTAGAATGAACAGTTTTAAGACCTTTTAAATTAAGCCACCGTGTGTGCGCACCGTGTGGCATGCAGAAGCGGTTGTGCTTTGCCTTTGAGGTATATACTAATGGTTAAATTAAGTATATACCGGAAACCAGGCATATATTCAGCTAGCTGTGCATCTAACTGGGGACACGCATAATCAGAAAACCCAGAATTCTGGGCGCCAGCCAGAGTATGCCTGTTCGCAGGCAGTGCTGTGAATAATATAGTTAACAACAAAAATCATGACCAAAGACACCAAAAACGGATCAAAATTGTATTTTAAAATACTTAAAACGTGGAAAAATTGGGAATCGACTCGCATTACCTCAATCCCATTCCCATTTTTGAGGACTTCATTTCTCATTCCCAATGGCCAAATCCCAGTCCCAGCATTAACCCAAATCCCATTTTCCCAGTCTAAAAATAGATTAATCCCAGTTCCCATTTTACTCCTTCAGGACCCTCCTATTGGACGCCAGTAAGTCACTAAGCCAGTTCCTTTCTATTGTTTTTGTCTGCGCGGTTACAAATGAGGAACATTCAAATTCAAAGCCATGTATCAGCAAATTCAAGGACTAAATCAACTAAACACTGAAGAAAAGGGGTTAGAAATCAGTAAAATCTGACGTTGAATTGTTCCGAAACGCAACTTTAATGAGTTTCAAACAGCTTTGTCAGACAGTTTATTATACATTTTTGGTGTTAAGAAACATACATATGCATTATATTATTCCACATTTTGAGCAAAATTTGTAGTCTTTGGCACCTGAACAGCCACACACTGAGCAAAACATTTTGGTAAATGTCCTTTGACTCTCCACAAACACTCGGTTCGCTGCGCTACAGCGCTACAAGAATGGCGGGAATGCGCGGGATCTCAAACCACGAGTTATTCATGAACTTTATTTTGCCGTGACTTTTTACCCTGAGTGGGGGTGAATAGATTTTCTGAACGTCGGATTTCACAGAAAAAATTATTCGGATTTCGGACCTGGCAAGTATTTTACACGGATTTGAGCGGATTTGCGGATCTTATTAATACAGCGGATTGCGGATTTATCTAATATTTTGGCTCGGATTGTGTATTTAGCTTGCAATTTAGTTCGGATCCTGGATTGTGACTTCTTAGTAGAGCTTTTAGCGGATCCAAATTTAGGGGCCACGTCCATATTCATGTTGCCACGCATAACGTCGAATCGACGTTATGGGTGGGTGGGTGGGTTTTTTCGTCAACTCCTCAACGTTATCTGATTATCTCGTGGCAATTTGACTATTTACATCCGAACAGACCGAAGTTTAAGTATGCCGTGCAACTTTTGCCAGTATTGTATTATTTTTAACTAATAGAGTTCAAAACAAAGGTCGAAGTATTGAAGCGACATTTTTTCGTGTCAAATACCCGTCAATTTGTGTTCGCGAATCGCGATCATATTTTATAAAGGCAAGTACAATAGTCAATAACTTTGAATTGAAGCCTCAGCATTTTAATGCATTTCTGAGATAAATTGATTGATTATATACCATATTTTATAAGAATAAGCGGTCAAAATACGACAGGGTAACTATCGACGTTATCTGAAGTGGGTGGGTGGGTACTGGTGATAACGTCGATACGACGTTAGGCCACATAAAAAAATAGTTGGTTAGCGTCCTTAGCTTTTGCCAAAAAGTGGGCGGGCGGGTGCTTTTAATTTTTACTAATTGTTAACGCTTTGGTTTTAGGTTCGAAACTGGATTTTCTTGCGCAGTACAGATATTTTTTTATATATTTCAAAATATGATTCATACCGTCATTTTCGCACACAATTTCGCAACTTATGAACACAATTGACTACAGTCAACAGAAATACTACATATATTAGAGCCCGTTGATCAATAAAATTTGGTTTTTTAAAATAAAAATTAAAAAAAATCCCGAGCGGGGCCTTTTTTGTGGGCGGGCGAGTACGCTAACCAACTATTTTTTTTATGTGGCCTTATGCGTGGCAACATGAATATGGACGTGGCCCCTTAGACAAGACCATTGTCGGATCGCGGATTCTGCCACAGGGGGCAGAAAAGTACGATTGTGTTTATTTAAAATACCTTGTCATCAACCAATATATCGCATAGTTTCATCCAGGTTTCATCACGATGAAAATTATGTTAATTTTAAATTTTTTTTCGATAATATATTAATATATATCATGCCTACTACTGCTTACTGACTTCATGTAATTCAAACATTGTATTACACGGACTGACCATAGTAGCGTGGGCTCATACTAGAACGATTGACTTTGTTTACGGGCTACACCCTCGGCATCCTTTCGTAAGATGTTCGGAAATTGTCGTTGCAATGCAATGATGTTTGAATTACATGAAGTAGAAGGCATGATATTATCGAAAATATAAAAATCAGCTAATTTTGATCCTTTTATGACTTTGTCTGTGGATTGTTGTGATATAAATATGCGATATTGGTTGATGACAAGGTATTTATAAAACACAATCGTATTTTTCTGCCCCCCTTCAAATTTGGGCGCGGATTGGCGGATTTGTATACCCCTATTCACCCCCCCCCCGAGTTAGTTTCGTTTTGCCGTGAGTTAAATTAATTAACTTTATTTTCCCGTGAGTTTATTTTGTTTCGCCGTTGCATTTAATTTTATTTTGCCGTGGCTCAGTTACTTCGCCTACATCAACAATTACCCAAACTCTTCCCAAGCTTGGTGGTTTTAACGGGGGGGAGGGGTGAATAGGTTTTCGGATCGTCGGATTTCACAGAAAAAATTGTTCGGATTTCGGATCTGGCGAATATTTTACACGGATTGCGGATCTTTTTAATACAGTGGATTGCGGATTTATCAAATATTTTGACTCGGATTGTGGATTTACTTGCAATTTAATTCGGATCCTGGATTGTGACTTCATAGTGTAGCTTTTAGCGGATTCAAATTTAGACAAGGCCATTGTCGGATCGCGGATTTTGCTTCAAATTTGAGCGGATCGGCGGATTTGTATACCACTATTCACCCCATTAACGGATGACTTGATTTAGCCAATCAGATTACGAGCTTTTTTAAATTAGAAATAAAATTTTTAAAAAGAAAAGTGCCCCATCAGTCCATACATTCCGACTCTGCTAGTTCGTATCGGTCAAGTCCGTCTCGTGCTAGCCGCTAGAACGCCGTATGTTAACGTTTAAGCTTGACCTCGGCTAAACTCAACGCTATCGTCAGAGACGGGTAGTGATAAGGTGGCTTACCAACCGGTATCGAACGAACAACGGGGGAGAGAGCCGGCGCCCCCCAGACCATTATGCCTGACACCTCGGCAAGACCCTATAATCGGTAACTACCACACAAGTAAAAGAACAGTTCCGTATATAAGTACGTTGTAGTTGCCCGGCGGCAGTAAAGAAGAAAGACTCACAAATAACGAACGATAAAACTATATGTTTTTACAGAGCAATTCGTATTCTCGAAGTACAAGCAGTCACATGAGTGACTAGCGATAAACCGGAAGTTCCGGTGTTCATGATAATGTCAATATAATTACTGCCGTTAAATAAACAATATCAATATGCCATATATGGCGTGGTATCTTCTTTTTCTTAACCTAGTGTCAACGAAAGATGACTGTTAGTATAACTACAATATAAACAATGTACGTAATATTTTGTTCTCTAATATCCATAATAATCTGGAGACTGGCGTTTGCGTTGAGGGCGCTGAGTAGTGGTTGGCGAGATGCTGTTGTCGGCTGGGGTTGTTAACGTGGGCGGAACGTTACTTGTCTGATATGGGCATTCTTCACACACTTCTTCATCGGAACTGTCCCTGTCACGACGGGGATACGGTGTACTCGATATTGACCGGTTTGGGACGATCAAGCAATCAGTAGTTTTAACTTTATACGATGTAGCACGCAGTTGATTACCTGAAAATTTCTTGATGACACACCATGGGTCTTCCACAGATATGACCAAGTATCTACTGCGGGGTTGTGTCTTATCTCGCTCAGCGACTAAATAAACCAAGTCCCCGACGTTAATTGTAGGAGATGCAAACGCATTCCTATTTCGGTTTTTCGATTTCTCACTATACGGGTGGTTTTGTTTTCGTTGTAAATGTTGCTCTTGGATTACTTTGCGATCACATATGGGAAGTTGATCATGAGTGAACTGATCTCGCTGTGTCCACAGCTCGCGAGCCGAGAGTCCCTCTCTCCGGAGGCGGGAATTTAGTCGAGATGTTGCGATGGCAAGGGTAACAGTCGTTATTGGACCACCATTGGGTGCTTGGCGGAGGATTTCTTCTTCGAGTTCAGCGATGGCCTTCTCTGCCACTGAGTTTTTATTAGTGTTTTTAACGCGTCCGATCTCTAGTGATAAGCCGAGGCGTTTAAGGGTTAGGTCGGTTCGCAGTGCAACAAAACCAGGGGCGGGGTCGACTCTGATGATGGCCGGTGGACCTTCCAGGGGGTGCAGCTCGCTGCATAACTTAGTTAGAGCATCACGAAGTGTGGTGGCTTTCTCGTCGTGGATGATAAACGTTGCGGTAAAGGATGTCGTTGTTTCGCGAACGACTATGATAGTTTGTTTACACCACTTTAAGACATCTGCGGCAAATGAAACTCCAACGACCTTGGGTGGTTCTTCCGTGCTATGCTGTACAACTTGAGGTGGGAGCTTTTTCAGGGAGGCACACGTGTGACATGTGTCACTCACACGAGCGATGGCAGCTGGCATGTCAAGTGCGAAGAAGTTGCAATTGCGTCTCATCACCAGTTGGAGTTGGTGTTTTGACGGGTGGTCGACTTTGATATGTAAGGCTGTTACAAGACCGTCAAGTACGGAGCGTGGTACTACGATCAACTCGGGGGAGGGTGATAAAGGGTCGGTTCTACGAACCACTAATAAACCATCTTTGGCAATGGACAGGGGATTTAGGTAACGTTTAACATTCTTTACATTTGTTAATTTCTTAGAGGGACGTGTTGCTTGTTTCAGGACTTTTCAGGTGAGCATGTGTTCTGCGTAGGTCGGGACACTCGGATTGTATTTGGATCCAGGCAGATCGGGTTGTAAAAGGTAAGCGGGGGAGGTGGTGTACGTCTTGGACGGAGGTGGACCGAACTACGGAATCTTCTGTGGTTGAAATGAAGTTACAAATTTGGCATTTCGGTTCAATGCACTCTGGTGCGTTTCGACTGGCGAAATCCGAGGGAACATTCGCTGAGCCAACTTGAATTGTTGGGACAGAGTATCTGACCACTTGATCTTGTCACATGATTGTTGTCCTGCAATGGCACTTTCCAATGGTGCGATGATGTGTGCACACTTTGGCAACAACACGTCCGAGGACTTTGTAGGCTCCTATAAAAGAGCGAAGACCCCGTACCGTATCGGGAGGCAGACACGATGACATTGTAGCAATTCTGTGGGTGCTTGCGGATAGGCATCCCTGTGTCCAAATCCAGCCTAAGATGGTGGTACTGCGTGGGCAAATAATGGTTTTGGATGAAGAAAGCTTGATATTGCACTTTTGGAGGGCATCTAGGATCCTCTTCCAGTTGATGAGCAGTTCCTCAGGTGAGTCTGCACCGCAGTACAAGTCGTTTGCAAGCTTTGCAGCGATTCCATCTTCTAGGCAATCACCGAGTATGCGACACATGAGCTCCTTGAGGGCTGTTTCTGACCCTGGCATGCCCATAGCTGATCGGGTGTAGACTCGAACGCCGCGGAATGGAGTCACGACGCCACAGTACTTCATGGAACCTTTAGCAAGTGGCATCTGATAGAAAGCGTTGGTAAGGTCGGATACGATGTACTTCCATTTGGCGATTGTTCGGAGGGTGGAATCGACATCGGGTAATAGAGATGGTTGTGGCTTGCTGTATCGACCAACATCAGCAAAGGCAGTGACTAGTCGGTGTGCTCCACTTGGCTTCTTAATGAGGAATGATGGATTAAAGTATTCAACGGTTATGTCAAGGTTTTCAGAGGGCTGAAAAATGTCTAGCGATTCAAGCTCGTCAAATTTGTGTTGAAGCTCGACCAGCTTGTTCGGCGCATATTGGGAGAATCTGCCTTTGCGTTGTGGTGGTTGTGCTGAGCCCATATTTACGACAGCTTCAAAGGGACCGGCAGCACCGTTGTATCCAGAGATATTTTTATCAAAAACATGCATCGTCATATTCTTTAACTAACCGGCTGAATTCAGATTCTATCCTATCTTTGATAGGATAGAATCGGGGTCTAGCTGGACAGATAAGGAATGTTCAAGGGGTGTAGGAGAGGAGGGTGCTACTGCCAAAACTTTGAAACGAACGCATGCGCGATAACTTGACACTCGGGTAAACGTAGCGCATGCGTGGGCATTATGTCAGCGTCGTAGTTCGATTAACTGAACACACTCCAAGACGTGCCGACCAAGGTCACATTTGGGTCGACCCTTTTTGCCGAAAATAGATGCCGACAAAGGAAAAAGGTCACTTCGCGCGGAGAAATTCGCTAGTGGAAAACCGGCTTAATAGAGGGTAATAAAGTGCATTTAAACATGCACATTTACTATAGGTCAATGACTCGGCAAAATTACCAAACAACAGTCGGCAAAAGATCACTCACACACACCCCCCCCCCACTCGAAGAGGGTTAACGCCGCCCCTGATCTTTCCCATACTTTTGCTTTGGTAAGGGACTATATCGAGTACCTTATAGCCAAGGCTGTTTTTGTTCATAAATGATACCAGATTTCAGTATACCTTATAGCCACGGCTGTTTAATTGTCAGGCCATAAATATTACCAGATTTCAGTATACCTTATAGCCATGGCTGTTTGTGGCCATATTATAAATGATATATCAGATTTCAGTATACCTTCCTTACAGCCACGGCTGCTTGTGGGCATAAATGGTACCAGAATTCCGTATACCTTATAGCCATTGCTGTTCAGTGGCGTGCTGTCAGGGAGGGTGGCACGCTCCCCCCCCCCCAGCTGGCAATTCTTGGGGATATATTAAATTACAGATTATTTTGTCTAACCGTAATAATTTGCTACCTCACGGCTCACACGAAATCATTCATATAGAAGCATGAACAGTGATCATACGCAATGTCTCATGACCGGAATATTGGTCAGGTTTCGAAGCGATCACGAGGGATTTTTGCCCTTTTTTGCTGGTATTATGCCCTTTATTATGCTTCACGAATCACGAGAGCGTCGCAAATTAGATAGTTATGATAATGTAAAGTTGTGTACGCAATTTAGTTGTTTAATTTGCGCAAGAAACATCATAACTCATGAGTAATGTAAGTAATAAGATAATGCTAAAACGTGCCCTTTTGGCAGCCAAGCAAGGAAACCTTAAAACATATATGCGTGATCAGCATTTACAATGATTGCATAGAGAATAGAATTGGGATTTATAGATTAATCGCTGCATGGAATTAGTTAGCATTGCCCAATTTTAAGTACTACTACTAAATTCTAACCAAATTGCAAATTTCGACACGTTATAATGCCGTTTCCTGACCATCAGATTTCTGTCGAATCTCCCCTCAAAGTCCAGGAAATGGAATTTCAGAAACTCTAAATGCAAAAATTTTCGGGGGCATGCATAAACGAGCGTGCTTATGAGAATGCCAAACCTCATGAGCACGTTCAAATATGTACCAAAATCCAGTATGCTCATGAGCTCGCAGTCATATATATTTCAAAATCCAGTATGCTCATAAGCATATTACTAGATTTACGGAGATAAG